CCGTAAGTCTAATACAGTACTGTAATTTTATACATTTCTTGTGAAAGAAACATTTCTTATTCAACGGCGATAAAAATTATTTATATTAATGATGTGTCCGAAGTTCAACGAAGTTTTCGCAGAAAAATAAGTTATCAGAAATCAGTCGTGGTTTGGTGTGCTGCTTCGCGACGAAAACAAGCTTTAGCAATGGCTATGTCGAATGGTGCACACTCGGTAAGTAATCCTACAATTTTTTGTTTATAGCGTAGTTTATACGGATTATTTCCAAAAAATATATACGTATTTTGGAAATGTTGAGTTGGATTAGTCTAGAATCGATTAATTTTATGGAAGAAAACCTTTCAATCAGCCGTAGTCCGTAAACTTCACACGTGTCAGGCTGTGATTGGAAGGACTCGTAAGAAATTGGATTCCTAAAGAATGGAACGTATCTATGATCTTATAGGGGGGTCGACTATACTTGGAAAAAATAAAAATCTCAAAATTTGGCCAAAGGATGAGAGTAGATGTGCGGATATACAGAAATATGACATCATCACAAATTCCAAACAAAGGGATGAAATGATGGTTAATGCTTATTGTTGAGTGCCTGCTCAGTGTGCATTAAATGTGGGTCGAATGAGAAAGAGTTACACAGTGACGTTTAAGTTGCAAGTGGTGCATTATGCACAAGAGAATGGAAATCAAGAAGCAAGAAGAAACTTTGATGTTAAACAAAAAAAACTAAATAAAGATGGAAAACTTGCCAAGTGTTAGTTAAACGGTCACTTCATCGGGCCAGTATACAAAACATAAACAACAACACGATTTCGATAACAACAAAAAAAACATGCAGCAATGGACTCAAACAAAAGACATTCCCAAGAAAATATCACAATATTAGCAATCATTCTGCAGAAAGACAGCAAAATATACTGACCTAGAAGCAAATCTATTGATATATCCATGAAATTAAGATAAACGGATTTTCTGTGTCTGTTGAAATGATTCAGTTTGAAGCCCAAATGATTTCCCAAAATATGAAAATTCCAGAAAGTGAATTTAAGGGAAGTTACAGTGGAGCAAGATGTTTCATGGCATGACATAAGCTCAAGACCAAGGATGTGGAGTTGGAGTCTGAGTCAGAAGGAATTTCTGGCCAAAGGAATCAAAAAAAATGTGCTGACTCTGACTCCTGCATTTAAATTTACTTTAGTTTTTTACTTAAATGAAAGAAAATTTATTTTATATTTAGTAATTTTTTAAAAATGTATTTGTATTTTGTTATAATTCATTTATTTTAAATACAAAATGCATCAATTTAATTTATTAAATATGTAGTATTCTTTGTAGTATTCGTGTTTAGTAGTTAAATTATTTTGGCCCAATTAAATTTGAATATTTTTGAATCGTTCCTTTATTATCCCTGTTCTAAATAAGTACTCTATTTTTCTGAATGAGCCAGACTAATTAATCAGAGTACACATATTTTTATTTTCCGAACAAGGGGCTGAAGTAGCTAGCTAGATCACACACTTTTTAGTTGGACTAACTCTTCTGGAAGGGTGAAACTGAAGTGCAAATGCTGTCGATTATATGTAGATGTAAAATTTTATCGCCTCCTTTCTCCTCTTATTAAATATTTGTTAAAAATTAATTTTTTTATACAAATTAATATTAATGTAAGTTAAATATTAAAAGTACTAACTATAAAGTATTTGGGTAAATGCCCCAGGCTCCTTCAGAGTTCAGAGTAGGGTAACTCCCCATAAAATGACTTGGTATTTAATTTTGCTGGAGTCGGAGTCAGCCTACTAAAATTATCAGAAGTTGGAGTCAGAGTCAAGTGTTTTTTTACTGACTCTGCAGCCTTGCTCAACACTAGGTGTTGAATTTCAATGGCACAGCAGCTTCCTGACACATACCTAACTTTAAATTCCTTTAAAATTATATATTATCATGAGTATAAGCTGTACCCTAATTTTGTTAAAAAAAATTTACAATAAAGAAGTGCAGCCTATACACGTATAAATATGGTATTTATTATATATGAGTTATTTTTTATCTTTTCATTATGAAGTTTTCTGATCAGAAAAAATTTAAAGCTTATATAATTATTGAATATTGTTTTAATAACAAGCAATTATTTATTGTGACATTGTCACAATGCCAGGCTGCCATTTTTAATCATATTTTTAATTTATTTAATTTAAAATATATGCTCTCCACCACAAATTAATAGTGACTTGCTCCTGTACATCTTACTTTTCCTTTAACAATAGAGTCATGCTAATCATCTGTCCAACACCTATTGGAAAAAAATTTTTAAATTGAAATACAGTAGTGCGTCGATTATCAGAATCAATTGGGACTGGAGTAGTTCAAAAAATCGATTTTTCGTATAACTGATTATGTACAAGAAAATATATTATTAATATAGTATATTAGTATATTCCAATAATAGTATATTAATATATCCCATGTTTAAATTTTTCTCCATTGCATGTCACTTCGCATTGGATTTTTGTCAATGTTAAGCCTAATGTAAATTTTTTAAAACAACAATCATGGCTATTGCATTGTTAAAAATTATTTCTTTATTTTGTACAAACAAAATAAATATATTGAAAAATATAAAAACAAAAAAAATTATACTTTAGAAGTTAATATAATATCAAAAATGTTTGATTCGGCATGACACAGTGTGACTGGAACGCTTTCAGTTAACCGATGTTTCGGTTGATCGGCTTTTGGATAATCAACGCTCTACAGTAACATGACTTCCAGTTTGCATTGGAAGTTTGTATATCAATAGTTAATTGGGACCTCCTGCACCTAAGGTTTCCATATCTAGCCTTGTCTTTCATCTACCTAACTCCATTCTCGAGATTAAGGAAAGACAGATGGAGGGACAACAGTGAGAATTTATAGGTCTACAATTTTTTCAAATTGCAGCCCAATAAATAAAAATCAAACAGCTCCAATTTTCTTCATGCTTTAAGTTAACAATATTATGAAAAAAACATTTGGCTATCATTTTTTTCCAGTGAATTTCATATATTTTTCTCTCTAATTTAAAAGAGTCTTCCTAAAATATTAAGTTTTCATTAGAGAATATTTTCTTATTGAAAACCATTGTGTATTAAGATAATATTTATTTATAATTACCATCAGCTACTGGAACAACAATAAGTGCTCTATCAATAAAAACAGTATTTGTTAGATGTTGAGCTACTCCAACACTTGTTTTGTCTGCATATCTTACATAACAAATCCTTGATGAGGGTTGTAAAGGACAATCCCTAAATAAAAAAAGTTTATTTATTAATAACAGTACTAAATTTCTTAATTTTTAATTTTATATCACTATTTAAACAAGAAATCAAGTAAATTCAATGAATAAACAAAATATTAAAATCATTTACTTTATAAGTAAAATAGTTAATAAATTATGTATAAAATCAATTTTATATTTAACTCATTGATACAAAATTTACCAAATGCAATATTTGATAAAAGGAACATTTATTTTTTTATTTTTTCAATTTCTAATAATCTGGATCTTACACTTAATTTAAAAACTGGTGTACATCAACTATGTTTTCATTATTATTGTAAATCTAAAAATATATAAATATCTCACTTTTCAGAAGACTTTTACTGATTAGTAAAAAAGTTTTGAAGTTTGAGTTAAAAAAAAATTTTTTTTGAGAATTATTAATTATTATGACAATTCTACTCAAGTAATCCAATATGGAATCTGTTTTTTTTTCCCCCTTTGATACTTTATAGGGGACAAGAAGCTTCAAGTATGTCATCAGATTACTTTCTTTTTCTGTCAGATATGTGTGTGTGAGAAGAGAGCACAGACTGTAGATGATGCAGATTTTAATATTTATACCTCTTTAGTAATATTTGAGAAGTATTTTCTAGAATGGAGGAATATTATATTATTAAAATAATCTGCCATCTGATGTAGCAGTCATGCTCGACTGAATTTGATACATACATCATCATCTGTAAGGCCACAAGTGCCATGTTAGAAAGTTTTTTCTAATGCTGTACTTGTGCTCCTTGATTTTGACTGTGAGGCCCCTTGCAATCGCACCAATGTACACTAAGGTTCAGTTGACTCTAGGGTCAAAGATAAGGATGGTGAAAAAGGTTCTTTGAATTCAGGGGTTAGATGTCATGCTGATCATTTGTTTAAGCAAGAAAGGAAGAAATTATCTTGTTGTTGCTCTATCCCTCCATACCTCAGTTTGAGGTTGTTATGCTTGCTGATACTCTACTCATCAAGGAATGTTTTTCAACACAGAGATAAAGACTCCTCGCACACCAAAGTAATATGAAAATTAATCTCTTAAAAAGCTTTTTAATAACGGATTGAATATCGTGTAAGTAATTGTGGAAATATCCCTGTTTTCATAAGCATTACTAAAGTTTTTAATTCAAACCCTCTTTATGGAATAGGGCTTGCCAAGCAAGGGATAGGGTGATTTCATCCCTAGAATTGATGAGTGAATATGTGTTGTAGGCTTTGCAGATTTCGATTTGTTCCAACCATTTAAGGTGGTCCACATACGATGTTGTGATAATGAGTTTGGCATTTGAGAAGTCTGCTGAAATCTCTGGATCTGAAGCATATACAGATAATGACGTGGAACCCCTGTTGTGTTGGATGTCCCATTGGTGCTCTTTCCATCTGACTCCAACCGGATGCTTTGTGGTGCCTATGTATACTAAATCCCTATTGCATCTATGGTCTGTGAGAGGCACTGCATAGACCCAAGGTAGTTTATCTTCACTAGGTTTGTCTTTTTTCATTGCGTAGAAGATGAAACAAAGAGGGACATCATCTGTATGCCATGTGTGCTCCTTGTTGTCTTGCAATTTTTTGATACAAGGATGTCAAGAAAGGTTGTAGGTGACTGGGATTATGCATTGGTCTTGTTCCATACTATTCTCAGTATGTGGAGGAGAGGGTGGGAGACCACTGTTGAATTGTTGAAATATTTTTTGTATGATGTTGAAGAAGCCATGATGTTTGGCAACTTTACTTAGATACCTTAATTCTTGATTTAAAGCCTCCTGTGTAGATCAGTGCGTGTGGGCCCTTTTAACAAGTGCTCTAAATGCCGCTAATTTATATCTGAAAGGGTCACAGGAGTCTGCCAGAATGTATGTTGGGAAGTCAGATGTCTTGCGGTAAATAGATGTGCTTATGGTATCTCCTCCAAATTCAATGTTTATGTTCAAGAAATGGACTGATGAATCATTATATTGTTCAAGCTCGATGGTAAGGCAATATGGGTTGTTGTTGAATTGATTCACAAATCGAGTGATGTCGGGTTCACGTCTCCATAAAATAATGATATCATCGATGTATCGTTTGTATAAAATGATGTTGCGGCTGAAATTGAGAATTATTTTTCCTTCTATCTGGTGTTTACGCAGTGCCTCTCACAGACCATAGATGCAATAGGGACTTAGTATACATAGGCACCACAAAGTGTCCAGTTGGAGTCAGATGGAAAGGGCATCCAACACAACAGGGGTTCCACGTCATTATTTGTATATGTTTTGGATCCAGAGATTTCAGCAGACTTCTCAAATGCCAAACTCATTATCACAACATCGTATGTGGACCACCTTAAATGGTTGGAACAAATCAAAATCTGCAAAGCCTACAACACATCTTCACCCATCAATTCTAGGGATGAAATCACCCTATCCCTTGCTTGGCAAGCCCTATTACATAAAGAGGGTTCACATTAAAAAATTTAGTAATGCTTATAAAAACAGGGATATTTCCATAATTATTTACACGATATCCAACCCGTTAATGCAAATGTATATTTTTATTTGTATAAAAAGTCCGAAAATCACATTATAAAAACCGGTAATGGCATCATGACTGTAATTTATGAATCCTGGAATGCACGTGATTCCCGTTGGAATTCAAAGTTTGCAATTTGAAACATCATTCCATAACGACTGGTCTTCATTCTGATTGATCATTACAGACGAATAGTAGGTTGAAGAAGGACCCAGGAGGGATCCAAAAATGTTTGCTTGGACAATTAGTCATACTACATGTCGGTTAAAAGTTTTTAAGAGATTAATTTTCGTCTTAGAGATATGTGGGGCTCTACTTTTTGTTCCTGAACATAATTAATTTTGGTTCAATGGGAAAATATACCTGCAAAAACAGAGGGTCTCAATGGGCTCACCACTGTCTCCCATACTAGCGGAACTGCTCATGAGGCATGTTGAGCAAAGGGTTTTTAGCTGCTCCCTCATGTTAGCACACCCACTGATACATCTGAGATACGTAGACAGCATTCTCTTAGCGTGGCAAGACACGAAGGAGAATTTCCCTGTCCTCAAATACTTCCTAACAAATGTTTACTCCTCTATTGACTTTACCTGGATAAAGAAAATGGGAGAAAAATTGCGTTTTTAGATTTAAACATCTCCAAGTCTCAGAGAGGTATAATGTACTCCGTGTTCCATAAATTTAACAACATACTCCCTTTAATCCCTGCCACTGCATACCATCTGCAGCACTACATTAATGCGGCTATAGCCCATTTAATTAGAAGGGCCTTTCTGTTACCTTCCATGTAAACTGCTACCAATATTGAACTTAGTGCCATTTGCTCAGCAGTAAATGCAGCAGATTATACCAATTCCAAATATAAGCACATCTTGAACAGGGTTAAAAGATCTCTTTTTCCCACCACCACTTTACACATCCCAAAGGAATGCACAATAGTTTGTCCATCAGTACTGTTCTGTGGCCACATCACTGCCTGCATTTTTAGACAACACACATTATTTCTACTAGTCACCCTGCAACCAGTAGAGTCTCAGGAGGCTTCTATGCAATGACAGGGATGCTGCCTCCATACTAGAAAGTCCAGGGTACACTCTATCCTGTTAGAAAACACATTCAGCATTCACACCCACTATGTAGGAGCGACAACTAGAATGTTATCTTGCTGCATCTCCGAACACCAACATTCCATCAGGGCAAGCAGGTGTGACACTGAGCTAGCTAGGATGCTGTTACAACATCAACACACCCTACTGTGGGACCATGTGGCAATGCTTGGGTATTGTGATCAAAGGAGCCTGGTATATGTTTGGGAGGCCCTCCTTACAATACTATTAAATCTGTGCAACTCCCCCATGTTTGAGTTGCCTGCAATGTGGGTCAGCCTGTAATAAAGATTAAAACATTGTCTCTAGCTCCACTCTCGGCACCTATTCAACAAATCATGGTGCATGTGCATTGTCACTATACCCACTTAATTTTAATTCAAATTCTTTACATTTTTATTCTAAATTTGGTTTGTTCTAAAGCAGTGTTTTTCAACCTGTGGGTCGCAAAGTCTTATACGGGGGGGTCGCGAGTAAAAGAAAAAGACAAGTGTTTGTAGGTCCTACACTACAATAATAAAAAAAAAAAACTACAATTTCAGTGAGAAGGCTGTACCTGTTTATTTTACAGTACAATTGGTTTTTTGATCGATATTTAGGTCTCAACAGAAAGAAAATTAAATACGTAGTTTTTAAAATCACTGATATAGTTTTAATATGGCCCTGGGGGTCGCCAGAATTTTTTAACTTGTAAAGGGGTCGAGTATTCAAGAAGGTTGAAAAACACTGAAATTAGTTTTAATTCAAAATGTTTGTTTGAAAGATTTATTTGAGTTTGTGTTCTGCCTGAGAACAACACCTTATAATACATCGAAAGCACTTGCAAATATAGTGATATTTACACATAATTAATGCCTTTGTGATAATTTCTTCCTAATTATCAGTCAAAGGGCCTAACAAGAAATTCTTGTTCATGAAACACTTGTTACAGTTATGAATGAACTCCTACACAATACTTCAGCAGCATTCAAATTCATGATTTTTCTTCGGTAACTGACCAACTTGATAAAGCCAGATTAGAAATACTAAAGGAACGTTTGTGTATCTTATCCTTCTGTACTTTGTGCTTGCTGACTATATGAATTTCCAAGTCACTGTAGAATCAAGAGAGAAAATGCAGACTTAGAAACATTGAAGAAGAAGTTCATTGATGATGATGCAAGGAGAAAGATAGCTTTTACAAGTGTTATACAGTCGACCCCCCTATAAGATATAGATACATTCCAATTTATTAGGAATCCGATTTCTTACAAGTCGTTCCAATCACAGCCTGACACGTGTCAAGTTTATGGACTACGGCTGATTGAAAGGTTTTCTTCCATAAAATTAATCGATTCTACACTAATCCGACTCAACA